TATAGAATGTCTCGTAGTTGGGATTTGTCTAGCATTTCTCATGATTTTACTAGTGTTGCAAGTTTAAGAGAAGAATACTGCAGATACAATAGTTCTCTCTCATCCCATCATTTCAGGAAACACATGCTATCAGTATGACATTTTCGGTGCTGTTATCCTGTTCACCTGGTTAAGATGGTGTCTGCTAGATTTCTCCCACTGAAAAATTGCTTTTTTTCCCTTTATGTCACTAAATCCAACTCACACTCAAAAGAAGGCAAATAAAGCTCCACCTTTTAGACATAATTCTATCAAACAATTTATAATTACCTCATTATAAGCTATATAGAGTTTTCAGATATTAAAAAAAAAAGCCCTCCAAATCCCAGAGGCAGTATGCAAATCTACTACTCTGAGTTCTTTTCTCATCTACCATAACAGAATAAATATTTGGCTTCAAAGAGTCAGTCTGTAAGTATTCTTGTTGGTTGGCCAAATCCCAGGTATGTTGTATGTCTACCAGCAAGAGAGATAAGAGGCAATACTGAGTAAAGGTAGGAGTAATTAGTTCAAGTACTTTTGAAACTAGACCATGGAGGGGTTTTTTGTTTGTTTTTTTTTTTTGATACCGGGGATGGAACTCAGGTCCTTGAGCTTGCGTAGCAGGCGGCGAAACCACTGAGCTAAATCCCCAGCCCAAGACCATGAAGTCTTTTAAGAGCACACTGTAGTCTGAATCTGAAATGCCTTCTGACGGCCCATATGTCAAAGGCTTGATGCCCATCCCATAGTGCTATGAGGAGCTGATAGAACCTTAAAGAGCTCTTAGGTCATTAGAGGTTCCCGCAAAAGGGATTGCGGGACTCCAGTATCTCCCTCTTTCTCTCTTTCATTTCTTTGTCTTGAGGTGGGTAGTGCACTGTTCCACACAATTCCCACTATGAAGTGTCACTTCACTACAGGTTCAAAAATAAACATGCCAGCTGGTGATGGACTGAAACCTCCAAATATGGGAGTCAAAATAAACCCATTCTCTTTGTGATTTATCTGAGCTATTTGTTACAGTAACAAAACTAACATGTGCACCAACTTTACCATGGAACAATATCTAGATTCAAAAAAAGGTAATACAGGTAACTGTATTATTTAAGGCAAGATTATGTATCCAATGATAATACAAGGAAGATTGATACATGTTCACAAAAGGCTGTTTCATTTTTTTATTTTTCCTGCATGGTTCACAGGGAAACCAAGCTTGCAAGCCTATTACAGTTTGGTGAAACCATAAATTTCAGATCCAATCTCCAAAATGCTCCTCTGTGCTCCTTTCCTATTGCTTTTCCCCTTCTGCTGACTGGAGTTAAAAGTTATAATGGAGCCCTTGGAGATCCTGACGGGTGGAGAAAGCACTAAAACCAGTTAGATGGAGCATGTGACCCTAAATGGCTATATGAACCACAGCCCCTGCTAACCTTGCTGAACTATAAAATGAATGAGAAATGATCTTCCATTGTGTCCACCGACTGAGATTCAGGGATTGTTTGTTATCACCACTAGATTCTCCCTACCAAAAGAGAAAGCAGTCCCAGAAGGCAGGACTTGTTTATATCAAGTTGTTTGTCCAACCTAGCACAGTCCCACGTGGGAATGGGACCTGAAAGCCTTTGAAGTTGGGGAAGAGGAAGAGAAGAAAAATAAATGGCGTGTTGTTAGAAAGAGACATTTGATTTATAAGAACAGTTCAGGTAGCCTCTGTATCTGGTTTTCTATAAAGTTGTCATAACGATAATCTACAAAAAAATTTTAATGGGAAGATACAATTCTACTGGAAATGGTAGATGAAATAATGGGCTTGAAAACAGCACCACTCAAATGAAAGTTCCCTGGAGGATTCTGGTTTGTAAGTTTGAGCCAGTATAAGAGCAATGATTTCTAGTATTCTTGAAACTAGACTATGGTGTACATTAATAGCACAAAAATCCTTTTATCTCAGCCCCAACCTTACTAGCAGAAAGTTAGAGGGGGGAAAAAATTGTAATCAAATTTAGCGAAAAATAAGTAGGAGTACTTGACCAGGTTTCTACAGCTTTCTAAGAAATTTCCTACCTGGTAATTGTAAAGGAATGAATTCTAACAGATTTGTCACTTATCAAAAGTTGATGCCTTTCCCTTGCAATAAAAACCTCCATCCTGCTGTATCAACACTGGGAACCCAATTTTTCTGATCAAACCTTAATGCTTTATATCTCACTGAGTATAGTATTTTTTATAATTTCAGGACATAGTAGAACATTTATAGAAAATCTATTTTGGTGAAGTTTCACATGAAGACAACACAGAGGTCCATCCGAAATTCCCTCTCTCTTTGTCTTCTCAAAGACATCCAAAGGACACGGGCTTCCTGCTCTGGCTCTAGGATATCATGGTAAATTTACTTGGTCAAGAGAATGAATTCACCCAAAAATGCTCTACTAACTACAGTTCTTACATTTTGTATCTTCATATCTTGCAAACAGTGCTGCTACATCCACTGGGGCAAAATTATAGAGGAAGTCTGTGGCTTCCTGCTTCCTCAGGTCTAGCATGCAAGGGACTGGGTAAGAAAAGTTGAGGTTTATGCATTATGGCATGGTTCCTTGATATAGAAGAGGGCTCTGCATCTTCAACAATGCATTTACAGCTGTTTTAAGTATGAAAAGGCAAGGCCCAACATGTATTTCAGGAAAAACCCAGAGGACTGATATAACTAAAGAAGAACTACTTCCCCCACAGGAGGTAACTTAGTCATCAATTCATTAATTTAATAGCTGCTATGCACTCATTCTTGTATGACCAAACCCACACGTGAACTCTCTCTGAGAGTTAACATACTGATTTTGGCAGAATGGATTCAAGTTCACTCAGTAAGCGGTGAACAGACTCTAATAAATTAATGCCACTCTACATCTTCCAATTCCTAATATTTAGGGCTGGGTTCTAATGCCTGGATGGATATTAAAACAACCCAGACATAATTGGACTTTACCTCAGATTTTCTCTGAGGAAACCAGTCTTTTATCTTAGCTGTGACTTTGGCAGAGTAAACTCAATGAAAATGGCCTCTTTGGAGTAGCATTTACTAAATCTAATTATGCTGCCTACTTTGCTGATCCTACTATTTTCTGGTTTTGTTTCTCTTTTGTTTTGTTTTTTCTTTGGTGTGAGGGATGTTATTTCCTTAGTATTCCTACTACTGAGCAAGTTCTCCTCAACCCCATCCATCTCTTGTGTGTATAAGAAATCATTAATATAGCACTTCAAGGGCTTTCAAGAGGGTTTAGTCCTACCCAGGGATTAACCATTTGGCTGTCTATGTGGGGTGACGATTACTTTATCTTCCAAACTGGGACACTTTTCAGACTGCTATTATTGATTACACCTTGACAGGAAACATAAACCAGGGTTATCTTGGACGAACTAGGGCATATGATAACACTACTGGGAATTCAAAACAAACCTACGTGCTCCTATGTCTCAGATATTATAAAATCTTTCACAGGACATTCATTTCTTTCAGGGGACTTACAAAATAGGCCCATTTATGTTATAGCAGCTGGATACAGTGTAGCATAGTGGTTGAGGACAAAGGCTCTGACTTCTTTTACTCCAATATCCCTTGCTCTCAGTTTTGAATGATGGCTTGCACTCTCCCAGCTGCAGAACCAGATTTCCTGGGCTCAAATCCTAACACTGTCATTTCTAAGATATGAAAGTTTGGAAAGTCATATAACCTTCTGTGTCTCGGTTCCCTTGTCTATGAAATGATGATATTTGAAAATGACTCATAAGGTTCTCTAGAATAAATTAGTTAACAGTCATGCACTAATTATCAGGGAGTGTTGAATATCACCAGCAATCATATGTCAGTCATTTTAGTTAGTAATAGCCCTTTTTCTCCCTGAGAACATGTCATGAGGACCTCCAGTCTTGTTTCCTTGTCAATTCTTAGCCATCAGGCCTGTTGTCATGCACCTTCCTATCTAAGAATTCTGCACTGATGCAACTAGTTATTTTGAGCTCTGTTTCTTACCTAGGAATTTTTGTCCCCCATTATTTTTCATACATTGAGTCTTCCTTAAATTGCCTCCAGCCAAACACATTGAGTACTCTTTCACTATTCAGAGTCACTTCCATACAATAAAGTGCTAAGGAGCACACCAAAATGAATCTGCAACTTCACTTTTAGTGACATGTTACTCTGTCTCCATATCTTCTTGGGAGTTTCTTGTCAGGCATTGGTTTCTAGTCTATCACAGCCTGAAGGTTACAGAGGAATTCATCGTAAGAACCACATTAGTATCTTCTGCTAGAATATGCATGAATCTCTGTGACAATTTTATAAATCTTGCATGAAAATTGGCATGGAGCCACATCTTGTCAAGGAAATCACAGGGAAAAGGTATTTTCCAGGTCTCATTTGGGTATGACCTTCAATCTTCCTGTATATTGTGTCCTTGCAAAAGATATCTCATCCCATCTAACAGCAAACAAACGAGCAAAAAATGCCTGCCCTAATCACTTAGCGGTATGAAACTGAAATCACTTGTGTGAATCGTTATTAGAAGAAAAAGCAAACAAGAAACATTATATTCCTATTTGGATTGTTCAATTACTAGATTAAGATAATTAGGCTCAATTTAGTAACTTTTTCTTAACTCTCAGGAAGAGGAGGGAGGACAGAGCAGAAATGTCCCTGCAGCCATAGACCACGTCCTACCCCCAGCTCATGACCATAAGTATCATTTTAACTGCCATCAACATTTACAGTTACTGAACATTTACTCTGCTTCTGGAATTTTAAGTGACTAATCTCATTTAATCTTCATAATAATGTTATGAGTTAAATTCTTCCAATAGCATCAGAGTACAGGATACAGTAGGAGGAAACAGATGTATGTTAAATGACTTGACCAATCAGTAAATGGGACATAAAATTAGATCAGACTATATTAACTACAACCACATTAGTTATTAGGTTATACCTTGTGTCTTCAGGAGAAGAGATGTGGATTGGCTGATCCTGTGAAAAGAAAGTAGAGCACATGTTAACTGCTGGTCAATCAATACAAACATTTTTAACCCACGAAGGAGGAGCAGAATGTAAATATCATATATACCCAATATTATTTCACCAAAGTAAGCAATCACTGAGAATCCTAGAATGCTATTGTGTATATACAAGGCAGACATCACAGGATTTGTAAGTAATCACCAAAGGGTAACCATTTTCATGAAGCTGTTTTACTTTTCAGTCCAACACAGTATACGTCAAAGTTCAAGACCAAGAATGCTTCTACACACAAGCAGATTTTGCAGCTGTTTCTTTGATGAACAACTTCTATATCAAAGAGAACACCCTTGCTGGTGCTCCTGGAAAGCTCACTGGCATTGTGTCTTTCATGTTTTAAGACTGGCTACCTCCATACTGTAACCATATTGAGGAGATTTTCTAAGGAGAAGATGATATGTTCTGGGAGTTTTGGCATAAGACTAAGCATAAAAATCATTATAGTAATTAACATTTAAAGACTTAATAGATCCTCAGTACTTCACATAGATTAATTTACTTAATTTTCACAATAATTTACTGAAGTAGTGCCATTTGTAGTCCCATGGTACAATTAAAGAAGCTGAGAGGTAGTTACGCTAAGTGTTGGAGCCAAGGTGTTTTAAGGAGAAAAGTGTCCTTGCTGCCAAAAACAGGGCAGGGCTAGGTTAGTAGCATGAATCAGAAGTTAGGCTGAACCAGCTGTCTTTATTGAGCATTGACTATTTCCTGGTATTGCATTAAGCCCAATATGAACAGTGTCTTAGTTCAACTCTACTTAAATCCTCTGTGACAGAAATTGTCATCCCAGTGTTATAAATGTAAAACCAAGATTGACAGAAGTTATTTGCTTACTGTCATGCAATAAATGACACATCACTCTTTGGACCCAGGTATATTTCTCTCTAAGTCTATGTTTTATTTTCCATGACAGAGCAGATCCTTGTTTAGATACAATTTTCTTTGGCCACATGAATGCTACACATTTTGATTTTTTTCCTGTAGATTATTCCTAATTTTTTAAGATTTATTGTCTTGGTCATTTTACCCTGTGTATGTTTACATTTATTGAATATAGTTTTTTTTAACCTTTGCATTCGGTAGTATCATCTAGAGAGTTAATTTTCAAAAGTGCAGATCTTCCTGAAAATCATTGCTTCTTCAGACACTTATACATTTGGTTAACTTCTTTGTAAAAGTTTCATTTCCCATATTGATTCTTCTTCCCTATTAATTGCACTGGATTGGATGTTTGTGTCCTGCCAAAATCCATATGTTGAAATCTCAAGACTAGGGTGATGGTTTTAAAAGGTGGAGTCTTTGGGAGGTGATTAGGTCTGGTGGGTGGAGTCCTCATGACTTGGATTAGTGTCATTATAAAGGGAATCCCAGAGAGCTGGCTAAGCCCTCCCACCACGAAACTCAGAAGAGGGCTCTCCTCAGAATTGATCTCACCAGCACCCTCATCTGGGACATGTGGCCTCCATAATGTAAGAAATCTGTGGCTATTGTTTATAACCCTGCTCTATGGCACTTAGCTATAAAAGGTTGGACAGACTAAGACATTGATCTTTCTTTTTGGTGGAGCTCTTCTCCCAGGAGCCTTTCACCGTGAGCTGTTGAGGAGAAAAATTTTTATAAATTTTGTAGGCCAGAGAGTTTCTTCATTAAAATGATAACTTATCTGGATACAAAATTCTAAGGCCCAAGCTTTTTTCCTTAAAAGCTTTGAAGATATTATCTCATGTTATTGTTGGGAAAACTGCTTAAATCTGATGTTACTCTGGCTCTTTTCTTTCTCTTTGGAAACTCTTTAAAATTCCTCTTTGATTTTATGCCCTTAAATTTGACTATAGTCTGTTTGGATATTTATTTTACCTGTCCTGTTCAGTATTCCATCAGGCTTTTATTCTGAGCTCTTATATCTTTAATCCTTGGAAATTCTTGTTTATAATTTTCCTTCTGTTTGCACCTTTCTTAGTTTCTGAGAGTTCTACTTTATAGATTTGACACTTACATTTCTGTTTCATGACTCAATATTTTTCATTAGATCCAACTTTTTCTGATGTTTTCTCTTCATGACATTTTCCAAAAGTTTTGTGACCCAACCTTTTACTTTATTAATTTATACTCAGCTGAACCCATTCTACAATTCCAACTGTCCTTCCAGTTGTTCCTCTTTTTCTACTCTCAAAAGTTACATTTTCCTACCCAAATTTTAAATTACTTCTTCTTTTTCTGCTGTAAAATTTCAAAAGCTTCCTTTATCTCTCTAAGAATATTCATTAGGATCATTTAACATTCATACTCTGTCTCATTAGCTTCAGCTTCTCTCAAAAAGCTTATAATTTCAGTTCTCTTATTTTGAATTTATGTTCTTCAAATATTTAATCTTTTTTCCTCGGGAGCACATTTTTTATTCCTTTGAAGCCTTGGCCTTGGCGCTAGCTTAGCTTCCTTCATAGAGGGCAGAATACATTTGTGCCCCAGACTGGACCCGCCTGTCACAGGCCCAAGCCCACGTTTGCTGCTGCTCCTAATCTTATGGGGCTTCTTCCCACAGCACTACATCAGAAGGGCAGTCACTCCTTTTTATAGCTGCCTCGTGCAAGAGTCGAAAAGGACTAGTCTACCGTCCTTGCCACCCACCGAGAGCCACCCGATGAGATCATGTTCACTTGGGCTGTGAGAAGGTCTGATAAACTGCTCTCACCCTCACACTGAACTCCCAGGGTCAGCCTCACCCAAGAAGATATACAGGGGGAGAAAAAGGATTTATTTTTTTTAATAAGAGAGAACTTTGTGAGTTCTATCCCACTTATCCTTCTTTTTCCTTCCTCTGGGAGAGCTCTCCTAGTAAAAACAAGACCAATCCTCCCTTTCTCTTAAGGAAGTGTCAATTTTCTTAAGCTTCTGAAATCTTCCATGACTATGTCCCCTGGTCAGCCTCAAAGGTTCATAACCTATGCAAGCGCAGAGGATGCTGGGCTCAAAATGGCCGCACATGGCTCTGTTGTTGGCATTTTGAAACTCCGAACACTTATCTTTTTTTAATATAAAGAAAAGAATTTTATTTACTTACAGTTCTGGGGATTCAAGAGCATGACCCCAGCATTTGCTCAGGTATGGTAAGGGCTTTCTGGGTTCATCACAGCATGCTAGACGGCATCTTGCTGGAGGCACATAAGAGAGATCATTCCTTGAACAGGAGGCTCAGGATTTTAACTTGTGAGAAGGCCCACAAATTATGTAACCATTGCCACCTGTGGCATCACTAAGTTTGATTTTTAGCAGCTGATGCTGTACCCCCAAGTTATCCAAAACTACCGAAAGTGAAATTTATAAAGAATTCACCCCACAGTTTTCTCCATAGATCAAGGGCTGATTGTGTCTACAGCTTTAACAAAGTTCTAATAAATTATTTGGGAGAAAAAATAAAGATTATTCAGAACAGCATTTCTTGGCTGCTATGATGTTGAAAAAAGCAATCCTTGTATATCACCTGCTTCAAATTGTGAGAGGAGCTTGAGGTACTGGAATTAGGGCAGGTCCTCATCTAGTAAACATGTACCACTACTACTGTCACCACTTTATTGGGGGGGGGGGATCGATCTGAATTTGGGAACCATAAACTTTAGTAAATAAAACTTTATTGTGTGTTTTATCCCCAAATAATCTATAGATGTATACAAACATCTAAAAATACATTTTTCCTGTAAGCAAGGCTTATAGTTTTGACAATATTGCCAAAACCATCTCAAGAAAAAGGCAAAAGTTACTACTTTATGGGTTTCACATGGGAGAAGGAGAAATTCAGTTCTTCCTAGACACACACACACACACATACACACAAAGCACCAGTTTTTCTCCCCAGAAACTATATTATCCCACCTTGAAAACATGAGTTACAATTAATCACTGATTATTGATGAAAAATATTTGAGATTAGAATATGTTGCATAGTGTTTGTTTTTAATGTTAGTTTTTTAAAGATCAGCAAACAAGCAAATCTTGCTCAAAATGGTCCAATTCTTATGAATTTTATTACCAGATTTCCTTTCTAGTTGCAAAAACCTAAATTTAGAAAAAAAAATTAATGTGCCCAATAGCATGGGAACCATGAGAAACATAATTGATTTCATGGATGCTCATTATACTCTGTTGAAGTGGTCTGTCATCAAATACTTCTTTAAAGTAAGCAGAGGCTGCTCGGATCCATGGTCCCTGCACTCATGGCTTCTCCTTGCACGTTCCCTCTCCCTGCCCAGCCTCTGTGCAGTCTAACCTCCGCAGTACACAACCCCTGCCCTTGCAATTAACTCACTGGTCTCAACAAGAAGTAATACGATTCATAGCTGTAAATTTTCCTGGTTCACTTTGACAATGGTCGGAGTTGAAGATGAGAAATGTACAGTGATTGGCAATCAGACATTCCCTCACGTCAGACTCAGAGCTTAGTAAAAGCTGTAGAAGAAAGGAATGAAGAAATAAACACATGCTAGTAACAAGATGTGGTGAATTAACTAATGGCCAACTTGTAATGCCCAGCTGAACTGAATCAGCATGGTGTGGGTGTGGAAGATCAACCTGAGGATTGTTATCAATAGCTATAAAAAAGAGAACTCTAGGGAAAGGTCTTAGCCTGTTGATTTTCTAGAAGCTTGCTGTAGATGCTTTTTCTGATGTGAACTAGGCTGTTCTCCTCAAAGGAGGAGCTCAGGGCCTCATGGTCACTAGAAATAGCTGCTGTTTTTGATAGGGGAGCTCTGATCCTCACCATGAGCATTACTTTCTGGCTCCAATGTGGATCCCTCAGCTTGTTGGCACAAATCCTTCATCTCACCGGCATAGGTTTTCTGGCTTCCACCACTGGCCCTTGGGCCTTCCAGGTGCAGATTCTCAATATGGACAAGCATGAGACATTGCCGTGGGCTCTAGGCCACTGGCTAGACTTGTGGAGGACATTGCCCTGGACTCTAAGCCTTCAGCTGGACTTGTGTGGGATATTGCTGGGATCCAGGCCCTTGGTTGGATTTTTTGGGCCCCTAGTGTGTGGTTAATCTCTTGCGCTCCTCTGCATTTGACTTTTTGGGTAATTATCATAAAATAACCCTACAAATTATGTGTCCTGTAGTAAATGTATTCTCTTGCCAAAACCCTGACTACAACACAAGAGCTCACGTTTATAGTGTTATTTTCCTAGGGATGCAAGTACTTTACAGTTACTTTCACACAACTGCTGCTAAGAGTTATCATCACCCTATTTACATAGAGGTCACTAAGGCACTGAGAAATAAAATTACCTGAACATAGTTGGTAGAAAAAGCAGGACTTGGCCCAGCAGTTTGATTCTAAAAGTCAGGGCTTATAACATTTGCATTACTTTTGCTCCCAGAATCAGACCTTCTTGTTATCATGAGAACACAAGAGTTACCCCAGGTGTTGTGTCTTAGCTTGGAATTAAAGAAAAAAATACAATAGTCTGCGTGGTTTGAAAAGCACTTCTTTCTCAGAGCTGTAGCAGCTGGGGTGTCTAGCTACAAGGTGCCGGCATAGTCAGTGTCTGTGGAGGGCCTGTTTTCTGAAGTTACCTTCTACTTCCTCATATGACAGAGAGGGAGAAGGACGCTCTCCTGTGTCTCTTATAAAGGCACCAATCCCACTTATGAGGGCTCTACCCTTCTGCCCTAATTATGTCCTAAAGGCCCCACCTCTTAACACCATCACATTGGGAGTCAGGATTTCAACATAATTATTGTGGGGAAGGGATATTCAGTCTATAGTCCCCAGATAAAATAAGTTCAATGAAGAGCAAACAACTTACATCATGTGGCTGGCTAGTCTGTGCAAATTTATCGTGGTTGAACATAGAGTCTCCTGTAGGGTTTTTGAAATAATTAGAATACCCTAAGGGCCCTATGAGGCCCCAGGAAATGCCAATTTGAGAAAACATGAAACTATTCCTTTCCAAATAAGCAATGCTCTCATCTCAGTGCTTCAGAGATCCTAACCAGTATCCAACTTGTGGTTGGGGTTTAATAAACATTTGTTGAATTAAACTAAATGAAATGTAATCTTGAACTAGTCTCATGTCTAAAACTGAGTTTCTCCACCTATGAAATGAAGAGATGAACCTAGAGAATGGTTTTCAATCCTGGTTGGACATGAAAGTCATCCAAGGAGTTTTTAAGAAGCATTGATATGTCAGCTCTGTCCCGGTGATGTTGGTGAGAGGTAGGTTTTGCTACTTTTGCAGGCTTTATTACTTTTTTGTTTTAAGTTTAAAGTGATTCCTCTGTGGAGCTTCCACTGAAAACCATAGACCAGTGGTCTTCAAATGTTTATCTGGACACAAAATCAGTTTGTGAACAATGCAACATCACACCAAAAATGGCTCCCCTCTATCTTGCATAGAGGTGCAGATAAGGAATAGTTTCTGTAAAACAATAGCCAGATTAGTCAGCATATTTAATTTCTCACCAACATCAGTTATGTATGTTATACAAGGTTCAAGTGCTTCTGTCTGGTGGAAATCCCTGACCTGATTTCCCAAACCCCCTGCCACTCACTATGGTCAGGTCTCTTGGGAGAGGAAGTTGTTCAATATGTTTGAACTGGGCTAGTTATATTGAAACTCTTCCCTTTTTCTCTCTTTTCTTGCTGGAGGTATTTCTAGAAGCATTGTCACTGACAACTCTGAAGATTATGCAAAAGAAATTTAGAAAAAGGAGTCTCAACTTGAAGTAAATGGCAGAAAGCTTGAATTTCCCTCTCATCTGACTAGATTCTCAGATTTGGAGATCTATAAAATGTTTCTAGGTTTGCTTGCTCCAAAGTGCTTTTTACAGGTCATTTACATAATCCTATGGACTCCATGAGGATAGTAGATCAAAGGCATAGTCATTGCTGCTACTTTCATCCCATCCCCAGATTAGCTTCTTCAGCATGTTCTCAGAGTGAACAGACACTTATATACCTAATATTTTCCCTTGTAGATTTGGAATTTTAGTTCAAAGATTATGCAACCACTTTTTTAAAGAAGCAATTTATTTGCAGGACAAAGTCCTCTGTCTTAGGTGAAGTAGTTTCCTTTTCATCTATTTTACTCTCAAGAAGGGGTAAAGCCTTCTAAGAACAAAAGTGTGGTCATCTTCCATATCACCCATGCCCCTTTCCAGTGACTGTGACTCAGACAAGATGCTCAGTCTCATTTCTGAAACAGTCCCTGGGGAATTTTTACACTGTTTCTGAGAACAAACAAGGTCCTCATGGGATATTTGCATTGATCACATCTTTTGCACTTTGTGAAAAAAGAGGTAAACAATTACCACAATGGAGAAAAAATATTGTAAGCCCATAAATATTTATAGGTACAGATATGAATGTTTCTGGATGTGATTCTGTGTGTTGGGGAAGCAGTGTTGCTTCACCACTGGAATTAGAGATGTGTGATCTTGGATAGGTTATTTAGCCTGCCACCACTTTTGTTTCCTTTTCTATTAAAATAATAATTTGATGGCCCATATTAAGTATGTTATTATTGTGAGTGAATGAGTAACTTCTCAATCGAGTTTGTTAAGAGGATGGTGGTGGCAGTGGCAGTGGTTATATGTGTAAGTTTTCCATCTGCCATGTGGTACAATGTACCACTATGGATCAGAGACACTGAGTTACTCATCTGATAGTGCAAGTGGTCTTGACTACCTACACATAGTTATACAAGAATGTGCTGGTAAATATTGAACTGGCTCTTGGGAAAAGGAGAGAAAAGCCTGGATTCACAGCATTCCCATGGTATAAGTATTCCCTCCATAGGTACTTTCAAACTAGCAACACAAGGTGATATGACTGAACAAGCTGAGAAGAGGTACACACAACTGGCTCTCAGGCACTGGATCTAGCAACTCTCGGTCCTAGCAGCTCAGGATTGCTTAATGTAGCTGCCGATTTTTATCCCTCAGAACAAGCTAAATCCTTCAGAGGGATTAAATCAGTCTGTGTTGCATTATATATGAAGTAGCTGAGTAAAATATCTGATAAATATGGATAAGGCTCATTTTGGGGCATCTTTGTTAGCAAAAGAACTGTATGATATTAGAGCGAGAAGGGGCCAGGGATATCATCAAGCAAATCACTTGTTCTATAAAGGAAATTTGAGTGCAAGAATTATGACATTAGAACTCCCAGCTCCTTCCACTTGGTGATAAAATTCAGTAACAGGAAAACAACCTGCACTTACTGCAGCTCATCTTTCTGTTCCTCTGAAAGGAACACAATGCAAAATTTGGTTAAAATCGATCAAAAATTTTCCCAAATGCTCACATGTGGACTGAGCTCTATAATTGTCCTTGAGGTCTGCACTTCAGATGAGGTAGACTATATGAGATGCTTGAGTATTATGAGAAAAGGTTCCTCTTTAAAAATTAAGCACCCATGGGAGACAGTCCAAACTCTGATGACTACAGCATATTGATATTTTCCTTAAAAGTTAATTTGTTTTCATTTTAAATACATTAGAACATCCTAAATGCCTCCCATCACTTTTTCCAGGTTCTACACACAAATGAACAAAACAGACAGAGTTCTTGCCTTTGTGGAGTTTACTGTCTGGATGGAGAGTGACAGGAACACACAATTAATAACACTGTCTTATAGTTGCACCAGCTATACATGTGTAAAGAAAATAGTGGGGAAAAGTGGGAATGGCAGCTGTTTAAATATGGAGGTCAGATCAAAGTTCTTCCTGAGATGATCTTTTGACAGAGACCTAAAATAAGTAAAGATTTTTGGAGAAAGTATTCTCATAAGAAGAAAAAATTGTCAAGACTCCAAACAAGTTTAGAAGGTTTGAAGAGCAGCACCGGGATTAATAAGAGATGAAAGAGGCATAATCATGTAAATATGTTTTGGATTTTATTGTAATTGTAGAAAACTTTGAATGATTTTGAGTAGAGAAGGCAATGACTTGATAGAACTTTTAAAGGTAACTTCTAGCTGTTGGATGGATACTGAATTTTCAAAGTCCAAACAAATGTGAGGCAAGAAGTTAGTTTGGCTACAGCAGTTACACCTAAGAGATGATGGTGTCTTGGACTACAGTCCTCTGGAAAAGCTAAAAAGTGCTTAAACTTGGGATAGATTTTGGAAGTATTGCTAACAGGACTTTATGGGAACTACACATCAGGCATTAGAGTAAAGTAAGAATCAAGGATGAATCCTAGCTCCTAGGCCTGAGCCTCTTAGTTTATGGTGCTTCCAGTAATTGGATAAATAAAAGTGAGAGAAAGACAGGTTGGAAGAGGGCAAAACTAAGAAGTACTTCTAAGACTTGCTAAAATTGAGATGATTATTAAAATCTAAAGATAAATACAGATGTCAGACTAAGAAAAGTTGAGTCTACACATAGAAATTTGAATGTCATGAGTATTTGACATTTGAAGACAAAAGACTAGTGGAAAAAAAACCCTGACTAGAATATAATGAAGAGATCCAAGACTAAGCCCTAGGATACACCAATATTTAGGGGCCCAGAGAAGAAGAAAACCTAGAAAAGAACCTTACAAAAGCAAATATAAGGAAATGGGCTGGGGAGTTAGTTCAGTGGTTCCGCCACCTGCCTCCAAAGTGCAAGGTCCTGAGTTTGATCCCTAGTACTAAAAAAAAAAAAAAACCCAAATATATAGGAAAGGAGAACAATGAGCAGAATATTGCACAACCCAGAAACCAAGTAAAGAAACTGCTTCCAGAAAAAGGTGATAATCAAGGATGGATAAGTCTACAGGAATTTCAGTGAGTAGAGAACTCAGAGTTGATTGATGGCTTTTAATAGATACAGGCCAGTGAAATATTGCCAAGAATAATTTTAGTCTGAGAGTCGGGGAGAAGACTTAATTGAAGTGAATCAAAGAGAGAGTAGGAGATTAGAAGTGACCACTCCATTTAGGTAAGTGAAAATTTTTTTTTGAGATGGGAAATATTTCAAAATGTTTGTATGCTGTTGAGAGCGATCTAGTAAAGGGTAGATGGTTAGCTTAAGGAAAGTGTAAACATGGGAGCAATGTCCTTGTCAAAGAACATGGATCCTGGTATACCAGCTGGGGCTTAGATAATGGTAGTAACAGTCCACCCATTGTGGTAATGGGAAGATAGAGTTCCTGAGAAAAAACATGGAGAGGCTGGAAATGAGATGAAGGAATATGTTGAACTATTTACCAGTGTCCTCTATTTTTATAATGGAAATGAAATCCTAGCTCATCAGTTAAGAGTGAAGATGAGTCAAGGCAGGTGGAAGTTGGTAAGAGATATAATTGTGATAATGGCTGCCATGGGTAGAAGTAAGATCCTCGAAAGGCAATCTTGGATAGAAGGTAGGATATAGGAACACAATCTTTACATGAACATTGATATTAACAAGAATATGTGAGAGAAAGAAATAAGATACCTCAATGACATAAATCTTTAATGAATTAGTACAAATGTCTGGGAGGATAATAGTTGGTTGCAAAATGGAAGATAATACGTAGTACATCCTGAGTCAGGTATGTCAGAGCCTGCATAAACCAAAACTCAGGTGGGTGAAATTATTTGCATCAAATAAACTAACATAATGACACAAAGTACACACACACACAAGTACACATATGCATAAGTACACAAATATTCATACATATACACAACCATAAATGTATGTACCACATGACAACCCACCTATTCACTGTTAAAGCACACATTTATGATCTGTGGCTTCTATAATGAACTTGAAAGAATTTAGTCATACATAAATGAAGAACCTGACATCATATGTATATGAAGAAAGTTAGAGATAGAGCATCAAAGTAAATTTTCCTTCATTCATTTCTTATCCATTATCTCTTACCTCTTCTTTCTTTGCCTTTTTTATCATATATAAATTAGAGTCACATTCTACTCATCCTGGGTCCCAAAGATTCAGCAGGTTCATTTTTAATCAAGTGCTGTTGCTTCTACTGAGTCCAATTTAGATGGGTGGAGAATTTGGGAGCAGCAGATAACAGGAATACTGCTGTCCGCAGTCGCAGCTGGGACTGTGACACCCGCCCCCCTTTCCTGAATAATACATAGGCAAGACAACAAGAAGGGACATAGTACTGCACCCACCGCATGAGGGTATTACTGCAGTCCATAAGTGATTCGTGCATTATAAAATCAATTAAATAGATCTTGACTGGCACAGTTTTTAATAAAAGAAGTTATTTTTAATGGACTGTAAGATTATCAAAATGCAATAAATGTATGCAGGTAAATTTTAAAGAGATATAAATTTCTACGAAATTATATATAAATATATATGTTGTATATACATGTATACATTATGAAAATATTCATATTTCTATGCATATATCTCCTGAGTCAGGATGTAAAATATCCTTACTATGAGTCTCTGTCAATAATAGTTGGTATTAGGGCCGGGGATTTAGCTCAGTGGTCCTGGCACCTGCCTTGCAAGCTCAAGGTCCCAAGTTCAATCCCCGGTACCAAAAAATAAAATAATTTTAAAAAAATAGTATCAACTGCTTATCTACTATGACAGCTATTAAATTCCAACTTTTTTTGAAAAAAAAATGGACTACAGAAATGACCTCTCCCTTCTTCTTTCCATGTCTCAGTTTGTGTGCCCGTTTGCCTACTGAATATGCCACCAACTTCTACATTCAGATTTCTCAGAACTATAACCACCGTCATTCCCACACAGAGTCTATTGCCAACATGGCTACATCTTTTAAATAAGTTGCCCACTCTAGTGTGAGAAACTGAGAGCATAAATAAGGACTAAAAGGATTAATAACTAATAATTGATACTTTGAAATAGGAAAAGGTCCAAAGGGGTAGGGGTGGTGGGAGGGGAAGGGGAAAGGAAAGAATGGAAAGGAAAAACTATCAGAAAAGAAAAAAAAATGGAAACGAAGTATGTAAATAGGGAAGGGTTTAGGGGTGAAGGGCGCACAGGTAATGGGGAAAAAATGAGAACTAAGATACATCATGTACAGGTACAAGCACCCAAAGATAAATGTAAATATATTGTATACCTAAAATGTACCAATAAAAGAATTTAAGGAAAAAAAAATAGGGCCGGGATTTAGCTCAGTGGTTCTGCCACCTGCCTCGCAAGTGCAAGGTCCCGAGTTCGATCCCTGGTGCAAAAAATTAATAAATAAATAAGTTGCCCATTCATTCATATGTAATCCTTCATAATTAGTCAGCTTTTAGGATGTTAAGATTCTTCTTCTCATCAGTTCCTGTTTTGTTCACCTAAAAGTCACCATGCTCACCTACCCTGGAGTCCCCAGTCTATGATTTTGTAAACTGTATGGCCCATATAACATAGTCAATTAAATCTTCAACATCACCATGCTGATAAGAGATGCCCTGATCAAAAACATTCATTACCTCCCCAGAATTTATTCAATAAAGCCCAAACATACCTTTACAGACTGTTGAATTGTTGGTAGTTGAAGCTCAGACACCTTGTGTTACATCCCAGTACCATTCTCTGCACTTAAGAGGGCGATTATATATAGTGGGCACATAATAAATGTTTGAAGAATGAATAATGAATGGAAATGGAATTATTAAACCATCAGTATATAAAATGGAAATGCAGGAGAGTTCTCTTTATGAATTAATAATTATATTAATCAAAATGTCTTTATGTAATCCAAAACCTCAAATTTTTAAAAAGGCTATGAAAATATTAACTGACATTTTATTCCTTGCTATCTAGATAAATGCCACTTAGTAAAGGCAATATACATAGGAGCATAGTATTAAAAATGAATGAGTGGATTCATTTATATAAACAAATAAAATGGGGTTTAGTCCATTATGTTAGCACCATATAGATTTTCATTAAATTTTTTAACTGAAGTCACTGCTGGTTCTAAAAAGGGGTGCAAAATCTGGGCTTTTATACACATAAATAAACCACTGCCTCAAAACTCCTTCCTCTATATTTCTTATATGCCTATCCAAATTACAAGTAAATGATTGACAGGATGTCCAAAATTTACTTCTACTTCCAAAGAAAAGCACGTATTAGACAATAATGGGAAAATAATCTCAATGCACCAAATCTACATGAAAACTAGGTTGAAATCAAAGCCAACAGCTGAGTCCCAAAATGCACATTCAATATAATGGGAAAGAATGTCAACAGAAAATAATTATCTGTTACTCTCACCCTGTTTCAGTTAAATTAGCATGAAAATGTTTCAAGTTGTTGGAGGAAATTTCAACATACAGGTTAATCTTATCTATAATTATAAAAAAGCAGTGCACACAGTTTTTAACATGCAAATTCAATTGTATATTAGTGTGGGGAAGGATTGCCATTACTGAGAAAATATCTTTCTTTCAGAACAATGGTACCAGGTGCTAACAAATGAATTTCTATTTTTAGTTGTAATTTAATTCTACTCACAAAGGAATGTGCAAGACACAAACAAAGATAATAGAAAATTACATCTGAGTTTTTAGTTTTAGCGTTAAGTATATGGATAGACACGAATATACATATAAAAAGAATTCTAATTTCAAAAACATGTTATATCAGGATGCTTAATGTTTACATGTCATTTTTAGTTTATAAGGCATTTTGAAGATATAGTCGCACCTTTTTTCTTAAACTTGCAAAATGTGGGGGGGTCTGTTACATTGATCTAATGCAATATTATGACATTAGAAATAATGCTACAGAAAAGTATTTGTGACAGAGATTAAAATAATATCAATTATTTGGAGTTTTAATATTGAATGGAATATGAATGATATTTTAGAGTGGCAGGGATGCTCTGGTTTGCTCTTGTATCTCCCTCCCATCTGACATTAATCCCTTGATCAATGGCTCAGTAGCACACAGCAATTGCAGAACAGTGTCATTGTTGTTCCACAAGAACTAACGTTCATAGAGTAAGATCTATGATGCCTCCCACATTCTCTATTTGGGTAGTTTCCTGGAGGAGACAACATAGCACACTGGTCAAATATTATGAGTAGATCCAGGCTGCCATGGTCAAATTTTAGGTCTGCCACTAATGGTGCATCTTCTGGCAAATGCCTTAGCCCCTCTCTATAAATGTAAGAAATGGGATAAGACTATTTCCTGTCTTGGAGGATTGCTCTAATGATTAAATAAGATAATGCACATAATGCATTCAGTAGCAGGTAAGTAGCAAATAATTTTTTTTCCTTCAAAGTAGCATTCAAATCTACTGGTGGCATCACAGGTAATGGCTTAGAAAGGAAGACAGCACCATGGTATAGAAGCAACAGGACTCTCTCATTAAGCCTTTCTTGTTCCACTTCTGAGGACCCTTGAAGTTACATTGGGCCCCACTTTATAATCCAGAATAAGCTCCCTATTTTGACATCAGTTGATTACAATCTTAATTCCATCTACAGCCTGAATTCCCATTGCCATGTAAGGTAGCACATCCTCTGCTTCTGAGAATATGGAGACATTTTTGGTTCAGAGAATGGAGAGAAGAGGAGGAGGGAACATTATTCTGCCTATTGCAAATGTGGGTTACTTTGCAATAAGAAAAAATAGGTATTTATAAATTACTCATCCATAAAACATTTTTATTTGACCAGTAACTTTGTTTCATTCTACAAATTTTGAAAATTTTCCTTCTTAAAGAAACTTTAGTTATATCTAATAAATTGTCATAATACACTGCAAACCTGGTGGGAACAAGACAATCTTAAACAAAAATATATAATGCCTATTATACAGAATGAGTGTGTTAATCCACAATTGCAATGATACAAATGGCATCCCATTACATGTGGTGCCCTTGGGCACTTATGAGCTACTCTGACAATCAGGGTATCCCAGAGGAGAATTAGATCGATGACTGCAGGTCAGGCCCACGTTAGACACTTTTCATGTACTGTCTTATTCAATGCTCTCAGTACCTGCTGGGTGAAGATTAAAATCCTCCTTAATTTAAATGAGACTTCAAGAAAGTTGCCCAATGTTATACAGCTAATAAGTCTCAGAATTTGAATTATTGTCAAAGATAAAAATAAAAACAAAGGATAGCAGGTGTTGGCACGGATGTGAAGGAACTTGTACAGTTTTGGAGGGAATGTAAAATGGTACAACTTCTATGCAAAACAGTATGGAGTTTATTTTAAAACTCAAAAATGAAACTATTAAATGATTGAGCAATCTCACTTCTTGATATAAGGAGTGATAGAATATGGTGAGTGTTTGACTTTAAGAAAAATAAAAACTTCTTACAGTAAAAGGCACATTTCCAAGACAGATTGAATGAGTACGTTCAAAGTCGGGGAGTATTTTCAGGGAGATTAGTGGCAATGTGCCTTTTACTGTAATAAATTTCCTTTGCTATATGTTTGGATCATACTTCATTGCTCGAATGTTTACAGCAATTTCTGTCAAACAGTAACATTACCGTGTGACCTCATCCACCTTACTCACAAGATCTGGCACCATGTGACTTCTGGCTCTTCCCCAAAGTTAAAATGATCATGAAAGGTAAATGCTTCAAATGGATCCAGGACATGGAGACAGCCATGACAAAGCAAGTAAAGGCACTAAGGAAGACTTCCAGAGTTACTTCAGAAAATGACAAGAACAATGGAATAAGTGTGTTCAAAGGGATGAGGAGTATTTGGAGAGGATTAATGGCAATGTGTCTTTTACTGCAACAATTTTTAATTCAAGCAGTTCCCATATTTTGTGATCAGACTTCATATATACACAAAAGAATTCAGTCAGGATCTTGATAAGTTTGTACTCTTAGCTCATACCAACATTGATTTACAATAGCCAAAAATATAGAAGCAACTCAAATGTCCATTAAATCTCCAAACTATTGGATAAAGAAAATTTGGTATATTCATACAAGAGGATATTACCTTTGTGAAAGAAAGAAATCCTGCCATTTGTAAAACATATATGAACCGGTAGAACATTATCTTAATGAAGTAATCCAGTCACAGAAAGAAAAGTACTGTATGATTTTTCTTGTACGAGGTGTACAAATAGCCAAACTCAGAAAATCCAAGAACAGAATGGTGATTAGCAATGACTAAGGGAAGGTGGAAAGGAAAAGTAGTTATACAATTATTATAAAGTTCTTATTATGCAAGATTAACTATTTCTAGAGCTCTGCCACACAGCATGGTAGCATTGCAATCAATGACATTCATTTACAGTGAAAAATGTCTACCCTCTCAGTGGAATCCTAATGGTATTGTTTTTGTGGTACCATGTGGTAGTACAATAGTGTACAATAGTGTACTACCACACACACACCAAAAAAAAAAAAAGGGACACAAAGGAAATACAGTAATGGAGATAATGGACGTCTATTGCTTTTAATGATTTCATGGACATATGCCCATATTCAAACTCATCAAGCTATATATAAAACATATTTAATTTCTGTATATCAATTATACCTCAGTAAAGCTGTTTCTTTAATGAAATAGGCCTAATACAGAGGCTTCCTTCTAGAGTGGCTCTCCAGCCACCACCCATGGTTCTTCAAAGAAAGACAATAAAAACTGAATCATCCGGCCCCATACGGAAAAGTTGGACATACACATTCAAAAATTCTGTCTGTCCACTGGACAAGTAATTACAGCACTTGTCCTTCAACACCACCCACACTGCTGCCACTACAATCTTAGAGATTCATCACTGGGCTTTTTTCTATTACACTAATAATAAACCATTTTTAAAATTTTCTCGATGCCAAATGGAAATAGGTAATAGAACATAAAACTAGAGGTGGTTGATAAATAAGCCTCAATGAGGTAAAATGGAATAAACAATCACAAAAAATGTTCATTCTTATTAGTTCATATAATATAAATTAAAGCAACATTTATGAAGTATTTTAGAAGAAGGAAAAGGCAAGGAATTTTAATTTCTCTCAATATTTGGGGTGCTTCCAGTGCAATTAGGATATTCATGTACTCCTGATGAGCCTGGAAATTGGTACAACCATTCTGGACAGTGATAGAAAATAGCCAGACCCATACAAATTTTCATGAACTTTGATTCCAAAAATTCTTCTTCTGGGAATTAAAACAAATAAATTGCTCAATAGCATCAAAATTTTACATGTACAAGATATGTATTGTCAAAAAACAAAAAATACCTTAATGTAAAAGAGTAAAATTATTTGGTAAATTATAGTACATTGATGGAAAATTATGTAATCGTTAATTAAAATGATAATGTAAGATAAATGTAGAAACATTTGTTTCAAATGTAGAAAGAAATGCTTATGTTTTACAGTTTGAGTGAAAAAGAAATAGATATATATTCTAAGATTGTAACTAAAAATATATATTTCTGTAGAAGTACAGTATACCACATTTTCTTAATTCTAAAAGTTATATTTGTATTATATCAACAGCTATGAAATGAGGATTCATTTTACAATCAATGTAGCCTCATGTTTTAATGGAAAGCACTTTTTCTTAGTTGTAAATAAAATAATGATACATTTTAGATTAAATAAAATATTGTACTAGATGAAATATCCAAACATGAAACCTTTGTATTAAGGTTGAGAGGTTCTAACTGCTTCATTTTGCCCATGTTCAAAATTAAACTTTTTTCAGTTATAACATTAAAAGAATAATAAATAGTTAAATGCTTTTGATGGATGATGAAAAATTCTAGTGGTCTATGCACCTGTAAAGAATTGTCATGTTCAGTGAGCCTTCTTTTAGAAGAAGGAGGAACAGAAGGAATTCTGAAAGAAGCAATGCAGTTTTAGTGAGGAGGAAGAAATGGGCTCCAAAATGTTTTCTAACAGACCTTGTGATTTGCAGGATGCAGTATCCTTTTATATCTCTCTTTACAAGGATCAGGAATCTGGTACTATGGAGTACAATTTAGAAACTGAAATAGCCAAGTGGCTTCTTTCCTATCATCTTTCTTTACAAGTGCTTCCAATTAAGGCACAATTCAATTTGGCATGAGGGCCTTGAAGATAAGTAGTTTAAATCTTGTATAAAAAATTCATGCATGCGATAACCAAGAAAACAATGATAAAAATTCATATGGGGTGAGAAAGGATCTTTAGTTTTCAAAATACAAGTAAATAATGAAGACTACAAATGCAAACAGAAGCAATGTTAGGAAAGCAACAAATGTCAGTATACTTAAAAATTATTACTAGCATTTTTGAGTTTTTAATCAAAGCTAAAATGAGTAAAATAAATGATCATCATCTCATTTCTTTCTCATCGTTTATTTTTTATCTCAAATTTATCTTTTTATCTTAAATAAGGCAAAAGTAGGTGCAACACACAAAGAGCAGGCTAGTGAGAAAACAGTTTAATTTGGGGAAAAAATTAACCTCCTAAGCTTGTAAACATCAGAAACCAGAAATCCTAATTAGAATCATGTACTCAGATCCTTTGTAGCAGTACTGCTCCTAAGCTAGCCACATCTAGCTTCTCTTCTTAGCTGAGACCCCACTTTCAAAGCTACCACCAGGAGCAGTCTTGATTCCCTAGCTTCCATTGCAGCCCAGGGGCTAAGCTCAGAGCAATGTGATCTAAGTCAAAGTCTTTGTGATCCAAGTACACCCTCTTTATATCGCTCTTTAAAAAGAAGACTTTCCCCCTCTCTCCTGCCGCCAACTTGCATTGAATGGAATAACAGCAGTATCAAGAGCCATCTCAGCTCATGAACTGAGGCAGTGAGCAGTCAGCAGTGCTGGTCGGTGAACACCCTGATGGCACCATGGGTCTGCTCTGCCATCTCTGGTTGCTTCACCCTTGGATGTCTTCTGCATATGAAGGGAATTCACTTAAGCTACAACTATTTCTATTGTTTTACACTTACAGTTGAACTTAATTCCTAGCTGCTATATCAAACATAAGTTACTTTGCTCTCTTAAGGAGCAAAGCTCTCTAAGATCTCTTAAAGTTTTGGATTCAGAGTCAGAATACATTTTCTCTATGACATCAGGGTATTTCTGGAGTCTCTTTAGGACTTTTTTAACATATTAACATATCACAAGCCATGGGGGACAGATTCAGGATAAAATGAAATAATCTTTGTAGAATGACCATTTTTATCATTTTTGTGGACCTGGCTTCCTAAAATAAAAAAGGTTAAAAAGGATTTCCTTATAAAATCCCCCAAACACTGTTCTTGGTCTACAAGGCATTTTATGACCAACCCTTTATCCTGTAATTTAATATCTTTTGGCAGTCCCACTGCATGGGCACAATGCCTAGAACCATTTCCATTCAGTCATGCCAATTCATTTGATTAAGAACTGTCCTGTTTACTCTGAATACATCTTCAGTGCTTACTTAATGGTCGACTTCCAAAGAGAAATAAACTTGAGGCTCACTTCAACTATTGGTTCAACTGCTGTTCACTAATCATCGACTATATGTGCATCACTAATGGTATTAAATAGCTATTGCTGAGGATGGGGGTAAGGTTCGTGGAGGTGATAAAGATAAGTCAGCATAAAACATGAGTAACAGTCAATTAATAGTTAACAATGCACTCTCCATGAATAATGAAGACTGTCTCATGAGCTCATGAAAAATACAAGTAGAACCTCTGCGGTTTGCACTTCCTATCCACGACTACTTGAAGAAGGAGTTACTAATGAAGACCATTTTGAGAAGAGTTTCTCTACTTTTTTTCTTAGCATTTTGGGTTTGACCTAATCAATCAACCTAATCTCTCAGAAAAGTACATACTTGTCCTGTATTATATTGGCCCTTGAGATAGGATATTGTATACAATAGTGCCTCTGTCATTTACTGAGGAACAAAGCTAGAGTCACACAGCTGCAAGTGATGTTGTTGAGAACATCATAGCTGCCCTTAGGGGAATTTCCAATTTAGTTTAGATTTTAATCTACTGAAGTATTTGTTTCTCACCAAAATTGGCATGATTATTCTCCCTGAACATTAAAACTATGCCTTAGACCAATTTTTCTTTTCCTATTGGCTGCCAGGAAATGTAGAATCCAATTTCTTGTTCATCTCTAATAACTATGAAGCCCTATACAGTGTGAATGCTTGTGGTTTTCATCTTCCCCCATCTTCTAACCCCAGTTTTAACTTTCCTCTCACTCAAACTTACATTTATCCTAGTGTTAAATTTTTTCTCTCTTATTTATATATCTGTATAATGCATTATAGAACAGACAAATTGAAAGAATGGACGTGTTGAAGTACTCTGAGTATATAGTTCCTAAGGCCATTTCACCTTGCATCCAGCACACTGAGTTCTCTTTAGTCTTCCTAAACCACAGCAAATCAGATCCCATACAATGCCTACTCCCATGAATTTCCCTTACTCTAGGAAGCTGGAAACATTGACCAGAAAGAAAATCTTTTTTTCTCCCAAGGAAATTGGTAAAGTCTGATATTCTGAGAGCTTTTTAAGGTCATGCCACTCAGGCTTCACAAGGCCATTGAAGCAGCTTCCACATAATGATGGCAAAAACACCAGTGCACGTTCCCCCCTGAGCTTATTCCAGGAAAGTGGCGGCCTAGAACACAAATCACAGATTATAAAATCCTTGCTTAGTCTTCAGTTTGGTAAAACAAATAAAATGTTGACAATTGAATTCAAGTCTGTTAATGACTGGCTGATGTCAATTTTTCTGTAACTCACTCAGGTAACACTAATTCATTAAACATTAATGAAGTACCTAAGACTTGTAAGCTGCTGTTCTGGATATTTATGAGTAAGTTGTAAGTCCAACATGTGAAAAGTGTATGGTAAAGTGAAGAAGACTAATATAATACTTTGAAAGCCTATAAATCTTACACAAAAGCTCGTAAGTTTTTGAAATATCTCATTTTCTAAATACTGTGCAAGAAGTACAGGATGTTGCTGTAAGATGAAATTAAGGCAAGTTTCATTGAGACCATGAATTCTGAGATAATGTTTGTAATGTCTGGAGCATATTGGCAGGAAAATATGAACAGAAGTATGACAGGTAAGGGGAAAAAATGAGCAAAAGTTTGGAAACATTTAGGAAAGAGCTACAA